TAGTCACAAATAATTAGTCACGTATTAATTAAATAGTTGGTTGCATACACCACATAGTTGATCGTACCAACATTATCATCGCCACCACCATGGCCACTTACAACTACCACCACCACCAACATAGCCAATAGCGCCACCACCACCAACTTACCACCGTCAGCAACACAGACACCGGCACAGCCTAAACGATCAACCAAATAATTGGTCACCTCACCCCACCCCACCCCACACACAACTACCGCACCACCGCCACGACGATCACCACCGCTTCACCATTACAACCAACACAACCACCATGTCACCAACGCCACCAAAAAAAATAAAATCCAAAATTATCACCGTGATTGTCACGACCATCCCTAAACTCTTGATAAGCAAACGAAGAAAAACCCCAACAACTTATTGTCAGAAACGACCAAATTATAGACATTGTCGCGTGCTCAACCAATAGATCTGACGTCGTCGGTGCTCAACTACAAACCACAAACTTCATAGGCTCTCAATCACAACCTACAACACACCTCCATCACCTCTACCAGAGAAACAAATGCAGAAGAGAAACATACGGGCACCAATGTAAGAAGCAACGATCGTTGCTTCATGTGCAACAGTGATGTGTGCGGTGTCGTGCAGTGCGCATGGGCGTCAGTGTTGCACCTACTGCTACACACATGGCTAGTGTTGTGCCTGTCACCGTGCACGTCGGTCGCCAGTGATGTGTTTATATATGCATGCACGAGCACCATGAAGAGTCGTCGGAGGGTTGGGTGGAGTGGAGGTTGAGGTGGAAAATGAATTGAAAGTTTAAAGATGAATCAGGGTTTTGTGGGGTATGGTGTGGTGTGGGGACGGGTGGGGTAGTTTACTTTAATTTTATAATATTAAAAAGTTTAAATTATTACATGATTTTGAATAAAAAACTTTCAAATCTAATTTTTAAATTGAGAATTTAAAATTCATGACTAGGTGTAATTTTCACGAAGAGAAAAGCCTTTCGGGCTTATCAAATTATTGTTTTAAAGAAAAAGGAAACTAGCTGTAACTTTATTTAAAAATTTAAAATGTTGGAAAAATGATTATGATTATTTTCAATTTGTGTATCCAAAAGGCCGTCAAGATTCATTTTCATCTCGTGGAAAGTGTAAAATTTATAAATGAACATCGGATTCACATTTGTATGCTCAAATATCATATTAATTTTAATTTTTTTGATATAAAAAATTAAATTATTAAAAAGTGAACATATTTATTTATATCGATTTTACTTCAATTTATATTAATGTTTTGGAAAATTACTATAAATGTTGGCCTCGTTTGATGTAGTTGAAAATTAAAATTTAAGTCAAGGTCAATATTTAATTTTAATAATATATTTGTAGGATTCACAATTTTTAAACCACAAAATTCATCAATTTTTTTTAATAAAAATCATTAAAAAATTATTTTTTTACCGAAATGAAACTAGGGCAATTGTGATTAGAATTATTCTACTCTACCAGATTTTGGTTCACAGATTTTATACAGACTATCTCACATGAGGTGGGTCCCGAGGACCTAACTCATTAAAAAAACCCCCCAAAAATGTTAAAACACCCACCCACCCTATCTCACATGGCTGTGCTCATTATCAACTATTCAATATTCTTTTATTGTTTCAACATATATTGAATTATTCTACTCTACCAGATTTTAGTTCACAGTTTTAGTACAGACTATCTCTCATGAGGTGGGTCCCGAGGACATAACTCTATATTGAGCGCCAAGGCGAAAAAAGGCGTTCGGCCTTTTGACTTGACAAGATTCTCTTGTTTTGAAGTTCAACTCAACAAAATGTTTAATCATTACTAAAACTTAATAAAGAAATGAGTCCAAGAAAAAACTCATCCTAGTCCAAAGTCCAAACCTTGCCCATGAACACAGTTTTCTTTGCCCACGAATAAAGCATTATTTATTTAAAATATTTATAAATTTGGGAATTATGTATTTGCTGAAAATTTAAAAAATATATAGGGGGTGTGTGATGTACTTTATTGAGAAAACAATGCATTGTATGATGCGATATAATGGAAAATAATTGGTTAAAAATAAGGAATTTTTTTGGATATACGTGTAATATTATTTTATTGAAAAATGTATAGTTAAAAATGAATTTTGAAACATTGAATTTTTTTAAGAATGTGGTTCAAACATGGGCATATGAAGTACAAGTACATTTTCGTAGTATGCATTATTTATTTATTTATTTATTTTGAATAATTTAAAAATAATATTACAAAAGGAAAACTGTTATATCACTAGATAATGAGGAGGAAGCAATAAAATTCCCTTTAGGGCCTGTTGTGGCCGGATTAAAATCTGATTTTAATCTAAATCAAAGCCAAACAATTAATATCAACCACATCTTTCATGGATCCCACATCTTTTCAACCACACATTTCAAAAACTTCTATCACAATCCATTAAAAATCTAATTTTAATCACCACCAAACACCCTCTTAATCTCATCCATATTCCAAAAGGAAGGAAGGAGGCTACTCCTCGGAAGTGTCTTGGGGGTGTTTGTGTATTCTAATTTAAAACTTTGCAAGTACACAAACCCAAAGTGTTGATATTCTATTAAATATTAGGGTCCGTTTGACTGTAAGAATGAAATTTGGGTAGAAATAAAATGAATTTCAGGCAATTGAATTGTCAAACTTGTTTTACTGGGAATTGTCGATTAATTGTATTTGATTAATATAATTTTTCACTTGAAAAATATTGAAATTTTGGATCTTTTGGTATTCGTTTGACTTTGTTTTTCATGAAAATTGTCCATTAAAGGAATATAATTTGTTACAATTGGACATTAAATTTGTTTCGATTACAAAAAAAATTTAAAAAAAAAAGTTGCTTAAAAAAGATTTTCTCACCAAAGTGGTAGGAAAAACTTTTCTTCAAAAATCAAGAAAATGTGAGCATGCGGGCGAAAGATGGAAAACCAATTCCATTAAAAATTTGGACAATTAAACATACAAAAATGTGAAAAATTGAATTTAATTTCTATCTTTCATAGAATTGAAGTGCAATCAAATAGGACCTTAGTGATTTGATTATACTTTTACTTCTATTACCACAAAAGATTAGCACAACTCGGAAGGATTGCGCTTCTCTTTTCATTGTTTCTATGGGTTAATTTCACAAATGGTAACTAAAGTTACCTGAAAATTTCAAAACGGTCACTGAAATTTCAAAGTTTCAGAAACGGTCACTGAAATTTGAAATTTCTTTCAAAATGGTCACTGAATTTTCAGATTTTTTGGCCAAGTTTGGGGCAATTATTCGGTAACTTCCGACCACCAAAACCGTCGATTTCGGATACCGTTGAAAAGCCCACGGCGTCCTCTTCAATTATCAACAAAAATCTCCTCAAAACTCCAAGTGATTTGGTCGGAATAAAGCCACGAAGTCGGCAACCGAAAATTGTGAAAATCTGCCTAGATTTTTAAATTTTTTGGGCAAGTTCGAGGCAATTTTTCGGCAACTTCCGACCACCAAAACTGTCGATTTCAGATACCGTTGAAAAGCTCACAATGTCCTCTTCAATTACCACCAAAAATCTCTCCAAAAATCCAAGTGATTCGACCGGAATAAGCACACGAAGTCAGCTACCCAAACTGGGTAGATTTTCGGACTTTTTTGGTAGCTGACTTCGTGGGTTTATTCCGGCCGAATCCCTTGAAATTATGGGGAGATTTTTGGTGGTA